ATATAATGTAAAATTTAGAAATTTACCAAAATTTCACATCCAAATGAAAAACTTTTCTTATTGCCACATTTTAAAATTGCCCCCCCTGTGGGGCGTGCACCGCACATTCAGAATCACTGCCTTAGATGCATTGTTATAAGGTATATGAACTGTTCAATGTCATTGGTTATAGTAATAATAATACCAAAACATTAATGTAGGCAAGCTAATATGAGAAAAGGCATGGAATATTCCTACCAATACATCCAATTTAAGTTAGTATAAATCATATATATATATATATCCAGGGTAAGTTCAAAATAATATGAAAAGTGCTTGATCTTAATTTAGTAACATTGTAGAAAAGTAACTCAAACAAATTGTTGGAGAAAATGCTTGACATTAAATTATAAGAAAACCAACAGAAATTTGTCCAAAACATAATTGGCTCTACAGTAGTGCACAAACATTCTATTGTTGACTAGAAACCAAAAATAAATATCCAAAACTCCCAATAAAACAATTAATGAGATCCAGTTCTGTAAAGGTTTGACAATTGTTACTAATTTCTGGAAGACTGAATGTTTGTCCAAATTATATACACTACATAGTTTTGGACTTCAAAATGAACTTCTGATGCAAAATTTGTAATAAATAAATATAATTGATTATTTTAAAAAATCTATACATTAAAAAAACAGAAAGTTAATCTTTTGAAAATGAAATATTTTTATTTCAAGTCTAATCATTAAAGGATCTTTGAAAAAAAATAAAAAGTCTATCTTTCAACAAATTTCATGCATGTAAACTAAGTTCTGATACTAAAAATGCATAATTATAAGCTTGCATTTTTTTTTAGCAAAATGAAACAATTTGTTTCAAACAAAGCAAATTTTTTTCTTCAAATTCATCAATATTTACAAAAATTGAACTATCTGGTTATTTTTTCTAATGTAAATTGAATAAATTTTAATCTTCTACTAAGTTCACTTGTTTAATTTCTGTTTTTAGAATCAGTAAAGTTTGCCATTCAAGAATGAGATCTATCTTAATACTAAACTGTGTACACTTTGTGGTAGAGTATAGGTTAAACAATTGCCAAATTTTTTATTTTTTATTTGAAGAGGATGACATTTCAAGCTAGTGCTCTTTGTCAGATTGTACAGCTTGGTTGTAAGCCGTATGATCTGACAAAGAGTGCCAGTCGAAACATCATCCAATTCAAATATATAAAAAAATTGGCAATTGTTTAATCTCTTCTTTCATTTTGGTACCTTTGTCACCTATGCAGTTAACTATATATTTATTTTTGTAATAGAACTTGCCAATTAACTCATACAATTAATAAAATGGATTACTTATGAGCATCAAATACATCAATTGCTGTCACATAAAATAACTAATTAAGTAAAATTTCAATGAATTTGATTAATGTCAAGATAATAATCAACTAAATGAAATTGGTGTTTGTGATTATTTCAACTGTCCAAATAATCGAACTACTTTCATTATGATAGCTCATTATTAGTTAATAATTCAAGGTTGTTTAGCTTAATCAATCAGTACCATAACTTACTGTAACTTCTTTTACTGTGGATATTTACTATACAATAAAAGATTAGTTAAACTCCTTCACAACACATTGATGTTTTGTTGTACTTAACAAAATGCTGAGTCTTCAGCAGAAATATTTCTTAATAGTTCTACATTAAGGTAAAATAAAATATAAAAAAAAAACATTTTGTATTTAACCAAATTTTGTTCTAATAAATTACTACCCTTTTAAAGTTAAGATGTTTTAACAGTCAAGCAATATTAGTTAACTTGAAGCTTAACATTCAACAATGCTCTATTACTTAATTTTTAAACTATATTGTTAACATAATGTTTAATCTTCAACACATTTTTTACATGGGTAAATAAAGTTTAATCTTCAGCATGATTTATGTTTACTCTCTGATGAACATGTTTTGTATACTAAAAATTTAACCTTTAACTAAAATCTAGTGCTTACTATCCATTCTGTAAACAAAAAACTCAATCTTTCATAAAATCCTATTATTTTTTTTACTGCATTTAAACAGTAAACAATGTTTAATTTCAGTAGTGAACTTTTATTTTACTACAGCACAGAGGAGTACTAGCACATGCACAACTTCTAAATGTTCACAAGGCTAAAGATATTATTATTTAAAATCAGTAAGTCTGACAACCACTACAACTACAATCACACTGCACACAAGTCATGTGATATAAACTTTAAAAAATTAAACAACCCTATTAATCAAGATAACAGCCAAGAAAACACTCGTGCTTTTCTTCTTAAGAGATTGGATGTGACAAAAAATCTGACCTACTTGACTATTGGTCAAATTTTTCATCAAAAGCTTGTGATGGTCACTATAGCTTGACTCTTCAACCATCTTTAAACTGTAATAAAAGATATTATATGTGCAAGCTTCCCCTAGCACATTTGCCTAACATTTAGTAAAATAATCTTAGAATCTGAAGTAACTTAACAACAGTTGTATATAACTATAATATGCTAAAGGCTATATTCTTATTGTGGGCCTTCCTGTTATGTAAGAAAAGTTGATAACGATGTTTATATGTTATGCCACATGGAATACATTTGAAATTCATAACATGGCGATGCCATACTCTCTGAAAAGAATGTTGAGATAATGACATGAGCTTTACATGACTGTTTTGACACAGCTGGCAGGAATACAAGAATGATCTTTTGGGATAATTGTGTGCTTGATAACACATGAATGTATTTGAGATAGCTTGTCTGTATTGATTATTTTCTGTACAGCTTTCTGGATCAACAAATTTACGTGGTGATGACTGTTTCCTTTTCCGTCGACAAGGTTGATCACACCAAATATCATTAGACTCTTCATCAAGGAAAAGTGATTGTCTGTTGTGACTAGTTTCTTTAAAATGTGTAGTTCGTTTGTGATACTGTGTTTTTGTAACAGTCAAAGGCTGGCCAGAGTAGGAGCCAAAAACAAAAAACTTTTGTTCCACTGAATTACATAAATGACAGATTAAAGGATGATGAACCTCCAAGCAGTGTTGAGCAAAAGACTGTTTAGTATTACATGGGTAACCACAGTGAGGACACCTGATGATGCAATCGTCATCTTGATGTTCCCTAAATACATGTTCCTGGAGAACCGAATCAAAAGGGGTGCAGAAGTTGCACCCTTCCTCTGCCCAGCAATGCAGAGTTAAGCCAGAGTGAACTCTCATGTGTTCCATCATTATTTGTTGTGTGGTGCTGGTAAATTCACACACCACACACTGGTATGGATACTCGGATGTTGTCCGCAGTCTTATCTGTTCTTTATCTTGATGAAACAGCTGTAGATGATGTTTGAGTGAAGTACCATCAATCAGTTCACAACCACAGTATCGGCAAACTGTCTCATCTCTTTCTTTCACACTGACTTTGGCTTTGATTTCAGCTGTTGCTGGTATTTTAAAATTAGTATCTGATTAAGAAATTTTGTATGAATGTATTGTACAAACAAACACTACAATAAATATATAACTTTTTTATCTCCTGTATTTTGTATCACATTTATAAGTACAAAACCTAAAATAGAAAAAAAAATTACAGATTCAAAGCTTTGACCTATTCCTAAACAAACATTTTTCTATCATTTTTGCCATTAACAATTTATTTTCAATATATAAAAGCAACAGAAAATAAACCAGAAAAACTGGATAGTCACAAAACATACAAAATTCATTCTTACACAAATATTTTGAAAAGTTATAGCCTTACGAGTCTGTTATTACTTTGTATGAAAAAAAAGACTATTTTTGTTTACTTTTTGTTCATTCATAAAAATATACAACAATTTGAAATTTATAAACAAAACTGAGGCTACATACATAAAAATAGATAAATACACTAACATGTGAAAAAATGAGATTAATGATAAAACAAAAACTTCTTAACATAACTTAGCATTAAAAGACAATAAGGGACCTTTTGGTCCATCTACACCATCCTATCCACTAAATTAAACATTAAAAATACTCAAAGCCAACTTTTATCATTCAAATATTTATCAAGCTTTCCCTTAAATTAACTGCATCTACCATATCTGAAAGCAAAAAACAAAACACTTAGTATTACTAATGAATAAATATTAACATAGACTTGATATAATTGACTATTCTTCAAAATAAGCATGCTAACTTAAAGGTCATTTTATTCAACGATTTTTTAATAAACTCAAAATACAAAAATCAATGCAATAAATAAACTATCCAAGTCAGAAACCAAATCAATGAAATAGTCCTTAAAAACTTTTTATGAATAGCAAAAAAATGAAAGCATATATACAGTTCAAAATTCTAATTTAAAAACCACTTAACACTTAACAATTTTAAGACCAGTCACAAATAAGGCTAAGCGATCTTATGTTTACAACACATTATGTTACAATTATACTACTAACACACACATAACACCCACTATTTCTGAGATTAATAAGTATAGGGCTGACTTATTTACAATAAAAGGTGGATATAGTAAACTTGTATACCTTTTTGTAGTACCGGATTTCATATGATTTATTCTTTTTCAATAGTTTAAGATATGTTAATTTGTTTGTAATATTTGTAGTTATAAGTTTGACCAACAGTTGTAAGGTATATATGTATGATTGTAGTCTTTAAATAAGCTTGGATTTTTTTATAATTTGAGATGTAAAATTAATCTAATTATGATCAGTAGTGAAACTATAAAAAGTTGGTAAGGTATACATTACACTATACAAATAGTCATGCTTTTTGAAAGAAGTATTAAATAAATTGTAATAGCTATATCTTAGTGAATCATTGTTTTTATGTCTTGATAATGTCTAATTTTTCAGAAACATTTTGTAAAGCATGCATGTAATTCATATATGCCTAACATTAAAGTAGTAGCTAGAAACTGAGACTGTATAACACTGTCTACTATACATCTCCTTACTCATTCAATATACTTCACAGAAATCAGATATCCAAATACTATAAAATAACATTTTACTCATAAAACTTTATGTCAGATGCCAAAAGTAACCCACTTTTGTAAATGGGGTTTTGAAAAACAGACATAAGTGATTAATAATTAATTCACTATATTGGAAGTTACTGCTGTGTCTTTACTGGCAATCAAAGATACTCAGTGGTTTGGTAAGGCATAATTACTAGCAATGTTATTTTTATTGTTTTATCTTAGAAGCAAGCTACATTGGATAAATTTATATAATTATTTTTAAAAGTGTTTATTTTTTAGTCTCTCTGTATGTATTTATATTTTTTTATTTATCACACAGATACGTAAGTGCATGTGTCCACTGGCACTGGGCATGTTGCATACTTTTAAAGTCATATGCATACGGGTTAGAAAGATATTGCTCATTTAAGGCATTATGGACATTGTTCTGAAATGATCCTTTGCAATTTTAAGCATTCTGGGGGTTAAAGTCTATCGTAAGCATCAAGTGCTGGAAAATGAGGATCATCAGTTCTTCACTGTTCATTTGTTGAAGCACAGACATTCAAACTTTTAAAATGTCAGAGAATTACTACATTTAACATGGAATTCATAGCAAAGAACAAAAAACATTGCCCACACTAGATATAGGTAATATTTTATTTGCTTGAAAATTATTTTGCTTTTATAGAAAACACAAAATGTCTTTCAGAGAACCTGGAAAGGACAGCAAAAGGAGCTTAGTTCCCATGGGTTGTAAGTAATGTATGTCATAGTATATATTTTCTTTGTCTAAAAGTGTAAGCCATCACCTGTTACGTGTGAACTTTGGTGCATCATAAAGTGATTTAACTTAACTAACTATTGAGAAAACACTGAACATCTTATGACATCAAACCTAACATTAGGTTTAATAAAGTCCATCATATCATATCTATCCTGAACTTTCACACATACTTTGTTGTCAAATTAAATGAATTGTTATTAATGCTGTTACAATGTATCAGGTGTTAAGATATCTGACCAGAGTTTGAACTAGGGAGCCTCAATTCACACTAGCATTCTGAGAACATTGCTCTTACCAATGGAGCTACCAGGACTTAAGTTTCAAGCAGACAATTTTCCATCCTGACCATTTTGCTGTACATGTCCTTTAAAACAGTGGTGATAAGGTAAAACTAAGAGATGTATGAGAGCTGATTTGTTTAAGAAAAAAATCAGTACATTTCTGAGAAGATGTTTAAAATAAAATACTAGACTATTTTGAAAACATGTCAATATCTGCTTAACAGTTCTGGAAAAAATTTAGTACACCTATGACATGATAAAACTATTAAAACCTGAAAAACGTGTCAAAGCCTTTCTCTAATTTCAAGAAACATCAGAATTTCATTTAATATTAGTATTAACCAAAATTATTCATTAAAATTGGAAAATACAATCAGTATTTTCCAGAACTAGTTATTTTTCATCAGCAAATTTCCACATGAATGTATTTGAATAAAATCAATAATAAATGAGATAGATACATGATTATTTCTTTTGAATTACCTTAAGTGGATGATAAGTGTCTTGAAAATGAGGTAGATATCTCATTGAATTTCTATCTTGTAAATGTGAAATTATTTCCTAACTCCTATTCAAAGTAAACCATTTAGGCAGTTTTGCATGACAATAAAAAGATACTGATTTGAACATTTTATGGCTTTTTTTATGATCGTATGCATTTATCCAGAAATTTATAATCATTTTTTTCACCAGAGAAATAAAGCTCATTGTTTCAAATACTGTACTGCTATATGCTTGAAATTTATTAAAATCATTCTTACTTGAATTCACTTTCTTACACACACAAATATTTAGCTTTTATTCCAAATATAATTTTAAAAGCTCCCATTTCAAGTTTCTTTTATATCAACTTAGTCACTATTTGGCAACTGTATTCATGTAAGGTTAACCCTATGTGCATGTATACAGGTAAAGGTCAAAATGCACATGCTATAGCCTTTCACAGATAGCCATTCAACATGATATTATGTATTTGATGTCAGAGTTATGAACTGTTCATTTTGTCTGATGTTGCTGATTTAGAGATACTTTGTAGAAGAGGAGAGTAAATACCAGGAAAAACTGTAGATATACATTTTGGAGGTTCTAGAGGTTATACAAATACAATATGCAAATTGTACAATGGACAAAAGTATTTTTATTTTTGACATGAACATTACCTTCCACCATGACCTGTCAGACTGACATCCCCAATTCATAAACAATCTTGATTACATGTCTTGATTTTGTAACACTTCTACATGTCGTGTAGATACACTCAGTACATTCAAAACTATAGTCAACAATTCTTTTCCAATATGGAAGCAGTCCAATGAACTAGATGACTGATCACATGCACATTCAGTTAAACTAAACAACTATTATTGTCCAAAGAATGAAGTTTTGTGAATTTACTCTTCTTTCTACTCTATGCATATAATTTTTAAATCTCTGCATAATGCTTATAATGTTTCTCTGTTTTATAAGCAGAAATATCTGATATTTTATGCATAATTTTTTCAAAACTCTGCATAATTCTTCATGTTCCTCTGTGTTATAAGCAGATATATAGTCCTTTCTTAAAATACTAAACTTTTACCCTACAATTTCCTATTCTTTTATAAATACCTATAGTAATATAGAAAATAAAGAAATAAATGGAGAACAAATAATACTTACGACCTCGATGGGTACCATGTTTTTCCAGACGATGTTGATTAAGTATTGCAATATCTGTGGTACGAAAATCGCAGTTATCAATACAACATTCTAGCAAAGATTTCTTATGGATTAATATACAGTGTGTTTCCAGGTCTGATCGGGAATCAAATGTATCACTACACTGACTACACTTCAAAGTAGCATCTGAAGAGTGAATGCTGTCCACCATAAAGAAAGAAAGAAAGAATCAATCAACTTAAGTAATTATTATTTAGGCCATTAGTATCAAAGTGTAACAATTATGAATAAAAATACAATTTATTGTATTTGAGAGCAACTGTTTTATATTTTTCTTCACTTATATCAACTTTCTCATTACTTTATGTTGGTTACATTAGCAACGTTTTTTGAAGTCTTCTTACATGTTTTTATTTATGAATTATGCAACATTAATTCCAAACACTAAGTATTCAAAGAAAAATACCCAAAAGCAAACTGTTCAATAGAGAACCAAGTCTTAATTATATTACTATGACACAAAACTGTAATTCAATTAAATCTAGTCATCTTACAAGTTTGTTACATCAAGTTTGTGTTAAATTTCTTTGCAAATTTACTTTTCTAAAAGGAGTTTATACATATGGATTTATTTTAGTTTTCTACAAACTTTATATATTCATAAAAACATGTGATCAAGGTGATAGACCATTTGACCCAGTAAGGTATTGCTAACTTCCACTCAATCACCAACACAACCAACCAAAACATCAAAAAATAAAACTAAAAAAATATATATTTATATTAATCTTTACAAAAAATAAATGCAAAACAATATAATTAATATAACTGTTACATTAAACTAAAAAATATCCAGAAGCATCCACAATCAATAATATTTTCCAATATGTCAGAACATCAAATGTTAATTACTTCATTTAAAGCAAAGCATTTTTCATTTTAACCCAAAAAAAATTATAAACAATTTAAGAAAATATCCTTATTTTATCTTCAGACCAGACAAAATTATTTTGTAGATATCAACAACTTTATATGTACATAATTGTGGTTAGCATAAAAAATTTTGTAACATCATAGTCAATAACTATACTCACTGGTTTTCCCTAACATGTGTCCATAATAACTTCTCGGTATCTGTCAGAAAAGTACATTTGCAGCATGCATGTTTTTTATGTATCTTCAATATGTGGGTAGCCAATCGCTCAGATCGAGCAGCCTTGTATTCACAAAGGGAACAAGCAAATGGTTTGATGTGTGTGTTCAAGTGGCGACGTAAACACCAACTGTCAACTCCTCGCCATGAACAATAGGTACATTGAAAAGATTTTGGTGGTCGTTTCTTGACATTTTTTTGATCCACGTCAAGATTTTCATTGTTTTGCTTATTTACCATAGGATGATTGGCATGTACAGTAGACTGAAAACTACAGTGAGATTGCATGTTCATTACATTTAAAGTAGCTTTTCTTGAAACTTCTCCATTAACAGCACCAGTCTTAGTAGGATATCGCCTGATGCGACTGATGTCATATGAGTGTTCTTTATGAATTCGGAAGAAGTGCTTTTTCACATGGTCTGCTCTATTGAACATCTTAAGACAAACATAGCAATGGAATGGTTTATCATCTTTATGGATGTTTTCATGGCGAGAATACAAATCTTTTCTATCTGTGGCATATGGACATTTAGGGCATGCATATCTTTTATCTGGAACTGGGGATCTCAGGAGATCCTTACTTGTACCATCCACTGTATTCTTTAGCTTGGTCAAAATCCTTACAATTTCATCCAGCAGAGGTTGACCTCTCCATAATGATTCTGGAGCATTTTGTATTCCATGGTGTTTACTCATGTGCATGCGAACACATCTTGACCATGCACTGCTGTATGGGCATCGAGGGCACTGAAATACCTTAGCATTAGCATGGGTACCAAGATAATGTTCTGCAATTCGTGAGAGAAAACCTGTAGTGTTACATACAACACAGCGAAAAAGTTTACTCTCAACATTATAACTAGCTACAGGGGAACCATCCCAACTCAAACGATCTTTCCCAAACACCCAAGACCTCTTTCCAGAGTTTAAAAATGGTGCAAATTCATTGGTTTTATTGTAATCTAACATACTTAAGGTGCCAGTCAATGATGTATTTACTTGTGGTGGTTGTGTTAAAGAATGCCCCAATAATTCATGTCCATTTCCAGTGTAGCTGATACCATTCTGTAAGTTATGACTACCAGCTTCAAACAGAGCTTCAACTTGCCTTCCAACATTCTGATTTGTAAAAAGGGCATCATCTTCTTGAAGACTTTGATTAATCTTGTTCTGGAAGGTGTAGCTGTCAACTGTCTCCATATTGCATTATTTGGGTTCTCAGTTCCTGTAAAAACATACACAAGTTTATTTCTATAAACATTTCCAGCTCATTTATTTATACCATATTATGTAGATTTACAACACTGTTGTTATATGTTTAAACTCTCACATGAGTGGCATTCTACTTTCAAGACTATAAAAATAAAAGTCAAATTTTATTATGAATTAAAACTGCACTTTATTGAAATGTGTAGGCATACAAAATATTAATTGATATTACTTTGTTGAGACATACATTTGAAGAATGGTTTAATGAAGAGTTTTCAAGAATTATAAACCATAACATTGCTAGAAAAGCAAAATTAAGTATCACATGAACAACACCACTTTAGATTTTCTGTACAATCCTAAGTGAGGATGTTTGCTCTCTGTGAATCTAACACATTTACAATATAATCCCTAGATCATCAAATCTTAATTCAACTATTTTTTGCATGTTTATGGTATCAAATATTAATGTCAATTAATAATAATATTTATGGTCTATACATAGAGTACATGGATTACCAAATATGCATCCTTCCTTAGACTTGTTTCTCAAAACAGGGTGGTATTACTAAAAAAAGGATTAATAAGAAAGAATATTTTAAAGATGGAAAACCTTATTTTTATTTTCTGGAAAATGTATTCCAACACTGGAAGAACCAAATATATAGATGAAATGTCCTACCTTGAAAGATATTTATCACATTTTGTTTTTATACTCTTATATGGGAATGTTTGCTTTCTGTGAAATTAACATACTTACAAAGAAACTAATATGACAATTCCTATTGCATATAAATTTCATTTCAATTTCTTTACATGTTTATTGTACTACATATGAAATTAGTGTGCATTAATAGTAATTATCATGGTATGTCCAGAGCTGAAGGATTGTCATATTAGTTTATGTTCTGAAAGAGAGTACCACGAAAAAACAAAAAAGGAGAGAGAGAGAAAAAAAAGGAATGAATCAAGAGAATGACTTTAAAAAATGGAAAACCTGTTACCCTCCTTTTGTTAAGAAGAATTACAACAGTTTTTACTTTGAACAAAATACCACATTGTATAAGGGTGGTGGAACGCATCTCCAGCTCTTAAAACTTTCATGTTTGTAACTATAACAATGTTAATCCTTCTTCAATGGAAATTGTCTTATCTAGTTTTATTTAGGTTTTTCTACGGCTCTAATGATAGGCTGTTCAATTCGTACAAGTTATAAACTAATTCCTCTCATCCATGTTTTAAAATGGGTCACTCTACTTCTTCTCCTCAGCAGCTTTCATACATATATCATATATTCACTTTACAAAGTATTTATCAATACACTAACCATTTTCGTCACTTCACGTTCCATCGACCATAATTTAATTAACACGCAAGAATTTCGTAATAATATTAAGTTATCAAGGTTACGACAGATAATATAAAAAAACAGGTATTTTTGGTAGTAATGTTTTTAATTAGTAAAAATTTCAAACAGCATTGAGGAAACTCGTATAATGTTCAGAACTGAGTGCAATTTTAATATAAAATAAAATTAACAACGAAAATTTTGTTTTCCTTTTATTAAATTTCACTTCTCAAAGCAGTACCCACTTCAAGCATAAATTCCACCTATAAAGTGACATCTAGAAAATATACACACAACCTACAATATTTCATGATATTATAACTTTATTATCAAAAATTTATAATAAGTTGGCAAACAACGATTTATAAGCATAATAAAATCATTTATTTTTGAATGAATACACTAAATGTTTCGACAGAACATTGATCTGTCTTCTTCTTATGTTTATAAATCGTTGTTTGCCAACTTATTATTATACTAGCATAATATGTTTCCTAACTCAAGTAATATTTCATGTCTTTTTGTCTGGTTTTGGAAATAGTTAACCGACAAACGCGAATAACTATGGTCGATGTTTCTGCAGTGATAAAATTACATAACAACGTTATTATTAAAACCGATATATATTGGTTTTTACTTTTAGTACAGAATTTCTAATTATATAGCCCCACCCCTCCGCTGATTCAGCAATAATTATTAGGGCTTATAACGATAAAAATTGGGTTTCGCCACTTGTGGTGAGTAAAGCTTTGTACTCAATAACACATTCTTAGCTATATATATATATATATATATATATTATACATACATATTATATATATATTATACATTTTATACATATTATATATATATATA